CGAGTTTCGAATATTATTCGAAAATGGAAGAACTCCGAATTTTGAATTTCGAATACGAATATATTCGAATGTTTTATTCGAATGATCGAATTTCTATTCGATTCGGACCCAAGTATACTTGCCACCACCACTTGCGATTACCACGGATTTCTGCACCACAATCTCGAATTAGATTTTGCCGCAAAACGAGTTTACCCCAACCTTGAAGTTCTGTTTACAACTCAACAACATTAGAGGCAGCATCTTGTAGAATAAGGTTATGGATTTCACAGCATCACCGTAGCAGCCCCTCCCCCAACTAAACAAACAGTCAATTCCAAAGCGAAAAGGAGCATCTACAAAGCCTAAGAGCTTCGGAAGTGTTAGATGTTTGTCCGCTTCTCCTTCCGAATCCCATCCATCCAACGATTTCAGTGCAAGCTAAAGGCTGCACACCGCTCGCGATTGCGATTAAAGGGTACCACAAAGATCTGCGTCTTTTGGCGGGCTTAGCTGCATAGGTCGAGTCGGAACCGAAAAGCTATTCGGAGGACCCGTTTTCGACATTTTTGCGCTCTCGAGGTCACATTGTCGGATTCAGCGTGAAGGATTAGCCCAAGTAAGCGAAAAGTCTTCTTTTTGACAATTTATTGAGACGTCCCTCCGATTGGCTGCAGAAGTAGATTGAGGCACTCTACACAGATTTGCAGATCTCAGGAACTTCAGCGCTTATTATCGGACCATCTTTTCCTTGATGCATGTCATTTGCGAATTAGGGAGGGATTTGCATATTCAAAGCATGATCCTTGGAACAAGGGAGGAGAGTCACGAAGTCGAAGTGGCCGATTAATACGAACTGCATATCATTGTTAAGAGCGTAAGAGCTGGTATCGATTATTTCAAATCTTCTTTCCGTATCTGCAGACTTTTGAGAAAGAAGTCAAGAGCATTGAGACGGAAATTGGTGAGGTGATAAATCGCTACAGCATCTTCCTCTTTAAGCAGCGGTAAGCGTTCGAATCTTATATACAAAGCTAAATATCTGTTTGTCTGTATGTCTGTATGCCTGTGTGTACGTATGTTCCGAGTAGAAAATTCCATTTCTGAGGCGATCAGGCCCACATACACTTCGGGCCGGGCGGATGCCATAGGTTACTTTTCGCCATCGTTCGATATCGATTTTTTTACCGATTTTTATCGATTTTTTTTGCAAAGTATGATCTACGGGGCTGGGGGTTGGCATAGGGGGTAATCGAGCAGTGTTGATTTCTAACAGCGGGAATAGGGAAATGGCATGTAGACGAGGGCACAGGAAAAGGTTGTATAGGGATACGAATGAGAGCTTTATCATAATGTTTTGACAGGGCTGGGCGGAGCCGGGTAAGCCAGCTAGTACCTCATAAAATAAACTCCTTCTACCTAGTATATTAATACTTCCTATTTCTTCATTTGACAGAAAGGCTGTAGCGATTGTTTCCCGACCAATGATTCATTATTTTTTGCTTCAAAGAATGCTCGTAACTTCTTTCCCAAAGATGCTCTGCAAACATGGAAAGCACATTTGGACTCAGCGTTCCAACTTCTTACTAACTTTATGCAGCTTGAAGTGATTGGCCACTTCGACATCGTGACCCTCCCATGTAAGACATGTTAGTCATCTTCCGCATCAGTCGATGGGAGTAAAAAAACGTGCCAGACGGTGTAGAGGAGCTTACTTTACAACCTTGATTCGTCATCACTATACACAAAAAGATTACCTGTATTAAACTCGCTCTAGTTTCTTATATACTCGCTCTAGTTTCTTTAACAGTTTCAGATCCTTCATCTTGTCACAAAAAGGGGTCTTCACTTCTTCTTTGAGAATCTTGCAAATTTGATGAAGACTAATCTCCTAGTTCTTGAGGAGTGAATCAAGAGCTTTAACCATGTGATCTTGAGGTAAAACGTCATAAGGTAAATTCACGTATCAAGAAACGGTAATGTGTGCCACACAAATTTTTCTTTGGCGCAACGAATTATCTCCTCATGTCAATTGTAAAAGACTCGTCACCTCGACTTGTACGAGGTCAGATGTTTAAAAGTTATAGAGCATAATTCTATACGACAGCAAGCATGCAAGAGAGGGGGCACAATCGCTAACATACGTTGTCAAGCTTCATCAGATTGGCTACATCTCATCTCCATCGGACGGTTTGTCGTTTCAAAGAAATACATTCTGTGTTCGTTCTTCAATTCTACATTTTTCCATATATGCGTCTCAAAAAAAGCTCCCAATCACTTGCGGAAAATTTTTTCAAATCGCTGTAACTTTGAGCAGATTGATTATTCTTTGAGGCTACAAGATTCATTGCGAAGACAATTTTGTTCACAACTTGTTTTGCTGGCTTTTCAGCACCTCATTGCGGCCCACCAGAATGCGCAGAAGGGAAAAAGGTCGTCGCGCGAAGTGGCCTAGTGATGTAGGATCATCTCAGGAATGATGAAAGCTGGAGAGCTCAAATGCTGTAGCTATAGAAGTCTGCCGAGGCTGTTGTGGAAAATATTTGAACCTTTGAGCAATCACATGCAAAAAAAGTTTCACCAGAAAGTTTGAAAAATCGACCATTTTTTCCCTCAATAGTGCCATTTTTCAGTAAGTTGCTTTGAAGTCTTTTCGTTCTGAACAGGGCGGACCAAATCTTTGATTACTGCGAACATTGTTGGAATAATGTCTTACACGTCTTTTAGACCCATCATCCAGGCATGGCGATCCCCGCAGAAGCGACGCCAGCTGCGAAAAGAGTTGCAGTCTCAGGCAAGTTCGACACTTTTAATTTCTGAGCGCAAATAGCAAGACTCGAGCCCAGCTGCGGTTCAGAAGTTAACAGGTTTTTCAATCAGATCACCCATGATTTTGACGAGACTCTTTAAACTACAAAAAATGGCCGCCGGAATAACAAGTGTAAAATTTTTATGGTTGAAAGGGGGTTTCTTCTCTTGATGTGCAGATCAAACACGTTTTGGCATTGATAAAACTCGGAAGCGGTTTTGAAAAGTTAGGCTTCCCCCTACTAAACAGTATAAAAACTTGGTGTTGAAGTTGGAGCGAGCGTTAAAAAAAGGCGTCAGAAGATGAAAAAGTGCCCGAAAACTTTCTTTACAACCTAATACATTTGAGAAAGATGGCACGATACTCATATATTGTGTACAACAATGTGAACAATCGGATATTTGCTCGACGGTCCGTTTGTAGAAGTACAGAAGACCCTCGGCATACCTCACACAATTTCAGTAGCGACGCGATTTGGCAATATTATACTCGTTTGACTCATTGTAAGGAGTTTTTGAATGTACAGAAGACAGGGCATTTTGTCAACTTACGAAAGCTATACATGCTGCGCATTTGGGGTCTTCCGGCATTGAATAGACGACTGGAAAATTGCCGGATCGCATGGCGCTAAATCGTGTGAAGTATGCCCATGGCCGAGGACAAAAATCTCAAATGGTACAAAATGCCTTTCAAATAGCTTTTTGATAGACTTCGACTACTATTTTTTTCTTAGATTAGGAACCTGGACTTGTAGTAAGTCTCTACTGGCTGGTGTTGCGGCACTTCAAGAAAGGTACAAACCCCACTCGCTTCTCGCTGCCATCTCTTATTACAGATGTCAGATGGAATCGATGGCGGTTGTTTGCGAGATATTGTTCAAGCTCGACCACTAGAGACGAATTCCCCTAGAATTATCAAGCGACTAGAGGACAAACGAAAGTAGTACGTCCAATGCGATGCAGGCGCGCACGAGACTAGAGGTTGTGCACACCGAACTCGAGCTCTGCGCTGAGTATGTGCACACAACTACTCTCAACACACGTCAGTTGCAATGTCGTAATTGATATCAACGGCAGATCGTCGACATTGGCAGTCGGCAGCGAATATCCCATTTTATAATATGTGTTGATCGTACTGTAGTATAATTCGAAATTCTACAATTACATGGTACCTTCTTGTTTTTTTTCTAACGCCTTCGTTTGCTCACTGTTTTTTGCCTGCTAGTAATTTCTGATTTCTTACTTCTTCAATTTTTACCACACAAGTTCTTGTTTTTCTTTTTTCTGTTAGTTAGCTGTGCGCTTGTTTTTCTGCCGACTTGAGAGGAGAACCACCTCTCGCATGTTAAGGACTACCTAGCACATTATGTTTGTTCATACAGAATTTGACTAGTGAGCACTTTTCAAAAAAGGTTTGGTACTCCGGAGACTCCGCGCTTCTTTTTTTTCCTCAGAGACGGCTGCGCTGTCGCCATTACCTTGAAAATCCTAAATGCACCTTTTTGGGGTGCAGCCAGAAATCCTTTCAATGCAGTTAGCGAGGATTGCCTTATCTCTCAAACTTTCATTATTGTTGAGATCGTTGAAAACTTTGTGCTTATCATTTTTTCTGTTTCTTGAAACTAAAGGTATAGTTTGCAAGAAGCATCGAGCATTTACCTTAGAAACTGAAAGTTGAACTCATTGCCCTTGGACATAAAAAGAAAGGAGAAACATCAGTAGAATCTCGATGTAGTACTGAGGCTAAAAACAATCTTACAAAAGACCAAACTACTTCCGATTGTTAAAAAGAGGCTTCGAGATTAGTAGTCTCTTTTTGACTGCGAATAGATTACACTTTGCAGGGAAAACAGAATAAAAGCCCGATGATAGAAGAAGGGAAAGAAAAAGTTTTCCAGACAGTAGACGCCAGTAGACCCCAGTAGTCACAACTTAGACGTAGAACTGTTTTCAGCCGTTCAGGGCAAGCATGCACTAAGACATTGAGAAAGAACAAGCAAAGCCATGCCAAACAAAATTCTTCATTGAACAAAAGCAGAAATAATTGAAACAGAAACTTGAGCAGAACATAGATATGCCAAATAAGATCATAGGTCTAGCGCAAAGAAAATTGCGAATCTTTTTGAGATCAAATCTATAATTGCAAAAAATTCACTCAAAACGTCGTTACATGGAATGTAGGCAAGGCGATTTCGCTGCGGTGTCGTTCATACCTTTTTGAATTCGCATAAGCCATACGCCGAGGGCCAGTCTTTGGGGATGTCATCTGATTTGGTGACGTAGGCGTCGGTGGAGCAACTTCGGTAGCTGGTGGGCTTGTTGCTGTGATCGGAGATATCGGTGAATTTGGTGACATGAAGGACGGTGGGGAACGGGGAGCTGGGCTACCAATGCGTTCCCTGTAACTTTCGTCCAGCATCTTCACAAAAAATCCCTGCCACACTTACCTGACAATGTAGTGTTCGGCCACGAGAGCGTCTGGAGATGGTGTGATGTTGTAGTTTGGTGCACCAGCTAAATTCTTATTTCGTCAGAGGTAAGCGTTCCAAGATTTTTATTTATTTCATACGCACATTGGCGAAATGATGAAAGATGAAGATGAAGATAAAATGAAGTAAAGCACAACTTACCAAAACCTCCTTGTGGAGTTCTTGGAGACGGACTTCCTCCCCAGAATTTGTCTGACGCGGACACTGTCCGACGACTGCTGATGTTACCCTAAAAAGCTCAATAATTCTGATCCAGCTGTTATGAGATTTTATGCACAAACTAAAACATAGGGTTTGTAATTCAAATCCTAACTGAGGACAAACTGCTAAAACAATGAAGTATGAAGCCAAACGAACATGCAGTGATCTGTTAGAGGCTATACTTGGATAATCTTTGAAAAGTGAGCAAAACAGTCAGCTTTCTATAAGTCCATATCATAGATTTATTTCAAAAGTCCTACTTTTCAAAGTATCATAAGCCTGCAAAAAATCAACCTCTTTTATTAGTTACACCATTTGCCTTGTTCAATACTACCAAAGGTCTAGAAGCGAAAGAGGTAGGAAAACAAGAGGAATTTCGTAAAAAACACTGAGTAAAGTGGAATTGTACTCCAATGTTTTTAGACGACCACCCTAGTGGTTCGAGGTGCCGCTGCAAGCGGTTAACTTGACCTCAAGTTAGCAAGGAATCCCCCATCCTCCGATGACGGTTAGTTAGTACCAGAGTAATTCGAGAGATCCGAAGGTTGTTCTGAGGCAAAGCTGAACTTTCAAGTTCAATGGCAAACATGAATAGAATAAGTAGTCACACTTCCACCAAAGCGCGGTGATTGCCAAGACTGAGAGAATCGCTCGGGAAACTGGGACGGTTGACCATAGCGGGATGTCTCCTTACCCGCTGCCGTTGCTAGTATAACAGCTGCAGTATGCTGCCACGAGTTCAATCGTAAGTGACGAGTGCTTTACTTTTCGAACTTTTGAGCTCTACGTTCTTTCGCCATGTGGATAAAGACCTTGTTTAGCCCACGGTCACCGTTTCTTATTGTCATAAATAATCCACCTTCTACGGGGATAATTATCAATATCAGATAATCAATACTTTGTAAGTATGAACAAGGGGGAACAGCAGAGTCATATCCAGGGTCGAGCAAGGGTATGGCACACCACCGGATACGACCCACCGGATAGGTATAACTTCAAGGCCTACCAAGCATAATTAGTAACATATTCACGATTACTATATCAAGTAACCCCTCTGTTTTAGCGGATTGTGAGGATTCCCAAAATTGAGCCACCCAGTTGAAGTGGTCAATTCTAAACATGGTTAGCTGCTACCCCTTTTTGCACTCTTTACAAAGCACTACTCCCTGTTTGCCTATGCCATGAATCCTGCAAATAACCATCAAACTATGGAATTACGAGCAGTCAAGATCTCGTTTGTCCCATTTTTCGCTTGCAGTGGTTGTGCTTCCAGCAACTATTTCCCAAACGAAAAAAGGAATTCAGCTCTAATCATTTTTACAAAAACTACGAGATTTTTACTATCGAACTGTACATAATTTGTTTCCTAAAAGGTGTGGCAGCTGTGGCGCCACAGCTTTTTAGAGGTTGTGCCACACACCATTAACTTAACATCAAACCATTCAGATAACTTCGTTTTTTATATCGTTGCTATTGCTGAACCTTCTTCTCTAAATAGCAGGAAATCATTTGAAACCGTTTCTTTAAAAGAAAGATGTACATAGTCGTTTTCCCTTACTTATGCGAATGGAAAATGCTGCGAAAATATTGGATTGCGGTGGCATGCCTAGTCTGCGCTACTATGTAAATTGCGAAAGAAGGCGACATGGATAAATATATTTTGTATATTAAGTCTCATAATTTACATAAAAGTGATTTGAGCCTGACTGGTCCTCTCCAATCTGAGATATTGAAAGGGGAAAATGAAACAAATGAGATTTTGGCTTGCACGTAAATCCACAGTTTCGATGTTATTCGAAGTGGAATTCCTAATGCGAGCAAAGATGTAGTAGTTCTTTGTATTAAGTGCAAAAAGAAGTAGTTAACTCACCTGTGAAACGAAGGTAACATGTTTGAAAATGACTATCTCACTTGGATGGCCCAATGTAAAAAACCTCAGAATTCGCTGAAAACTGGGCCGACAGGGGTTATTTGACATTCTAGTTACGAAAATAATGCACTTATGCTTATAGTGCTCTTTTATTACGCTTACTGTACGTATACGATCTTAGGATAAAACATCAACGTGCCTACTTTGCACAGTGCCCATCTGACATTTTGACGATTATCATGTTATCGCTAACATCAGCTCACCTCGATAACGATCCCTCCCTTCCTCGACCCCTCAACACGACCCCCAGGTGTGGAATGCCATGCCCCACGCTTGACTTGACCATGAATATAATCAATAGCCTCGTAATATACAATGAAGTGATTTGAGCCTGACTGATCTTCTCTAGTTTGAGATATTGAAAGAGAAACATGAAATAAACGTTATGCTCTTCTTATAAAAACAGTTGTATACTACGAGTCCTCAAAAGTACAATTGTAAATCTTCAGCTCTCAATAAGCTCTAGTTCCTGAAAAATATCGAATTTAGCTTTCCTCACTCAGGCTTTTCACGCCTAACTCAACATTTCTCGGAAACTAGAGCTTATGGAGAGCTGAAAATTTACGATTGTACTTCTAAGGGCTCGTAGTATACAACTGTTGGTATAAGAAGTGCACAGCATCACTTTGGTAGAAGCAAGGAAATCGGTTTCTTGATTTCTATCCAATGAGAAAAGACAGCAACAGCACATGTGAGGTTTGATATGGAGTGTATAGGCGCCGTAAAACCTAATCGCCCGCGATGTGCCTTGAACACCAGCGTAAACGAGCGGTCGTCGCGGACGACGGCGTTCACTATATTCCAATAAATCTTTCTTTAACTTTCATTTGTTCTCGTCAGTGCAAATTATATCTTGACGAAAGCTGCCTTCAAAAGTTTAGAAAAATATGTGTGGAAAGGGACCGCGCTCATTGCCGCTCGCAGAAAGCCTGTAGCGCTTCGGGACCAAACCTTTCAAGCCGCGCCGCGCGTTGGTGTTTAAAGCGAGGCATGAGCAATTGGATTTTATGAGGCCTGTATATGCGTGAGCGAATGAGAAATTTGAAAGTCATTTCTGAATGAAGATATAAAAATTTTTCAATTTTTTGGGCATCCGAAAAATTTAGATTTTGGTTTCAAACTTGGTGTGGATCGAAGCTGTTGCGAAAATGTAACCGCCCTTATAGTGCTTGCTTTGCTCTATCGAATGATATCTTGATGTCTGTTTAGCATAAGAAATGTCACACTTATTACAGCGAAAACTCAAAAATAAAAAGACTTATGGGACAACCTAATAGCTCGTGTAAGTCAAAATCAAGGCTTACAAATGGCTTGGGACATCTGGGCTTATACTAACTTGTTCTAATCGTGGCCGCCAAGAGTGTCAAAGAGGTAAATAATGATTAAATAGATAAATAAAAATCACTAGATTCTTCAACATATATAACGCATACCCTACTGATCTCTAGCACGTGCAGAATGCGACACCGACATCAATTTTGAAAAGGAAAAATTTAGGAACACTCGATAATAAGTTATCTCGAGAGTTTCTGGTTTTATATGCTTTGTCAGAGAGATGGTAAAGCCAGAGCTCCTAGGTGCTTATCGCTGATTATCGTTTAGGGGGTGGAAAGAGGTAGGGATAACGTTTTTACAGAGTTACTTAGAATTTGTCGTGATAAAATTTTCTAAAGTGAAAACCGTGCAGAATCTTTTGGAGAGCTTCTCCATGCCCATCGATGCAATAATGTGATGTCGCGCATCTTTCTTCCCTTCCTTGAACAATACTTTGTTTTCTGCTATTGTTACATTAATCACACAATTATGTGAACTCCCATCTGTCCCTCCTTATGACCCTAACTCCATTGACTTTGCAAACCTCCCAAGTGCTCATTAATGTCTCAGCAATTCCCTTCTGCAAATTTAGAAGTTGAGTTTCAGTATATGCTCTCGAAATGCGGAAATTAAAGATTGTGTCTTGAAGTAAACGCTTGCCCAGAGCGACCACGAATGTGCGGCATTTTCTATCGGTTGGTCACACACAAAGCAAACAATCTTTTCGAAGCGGACCTTTGCAAAGTTGTCCACAACGCAGATGATAGTAGGACGGCCACGTATGAGTAAATAGTTCGTCTGCAAAGCTTGTGAACATACAGAGTTGATTTCCGACAGCCTATTGAGGGCAATTAAAATAGTGATAGGCTCTTTATGGCCGATAAGGTGCGAACCTGCCTTTAGGCCAAGCAAGGTTTTCACTCTTGAGAGACGTCAATCAACGCCAAATCGATCGCACCTATGTAGTTACCAGCTTCTCACCATTGCGGTTTCTACACATACAGGAGCATCTTCGGCTAACTCTTGAAGGCAGTGTCCGGGCAGATTTGGGAGAAGTCAGTTTCAACAGACTGAAACGGACTGCTCTGCAGACCACCGCCCGCTTGCGACTGCAAGACATTGCTCCCCGAGCGATCCCTCGGCCCTTACCGAAGCAGGAAATTGTGGCGCAACACGCCACTGCAGCCCATGACAAATCATGGCGGCCTTGTTCCAGCACGATTTCCTGCTTTAATTAGACAGAAGGGACTATGGCCCGTAGTAAACCCCCCATCAGGGCATCTCTCTCGACGCGGGCCGGCGTTGATCTCATCACGCCTCAATCTAGCCGGCGAGCCATTGATCTTGATGCGGATCGCTTCCGAGGCATTACAATCGAGTGCGTTCTTGAAAAAAGAACCATTTGAGCTGGTCTGGTCAAACGGGTAAGCGATTGGAATTACACGCGCGCGGTCGTGTTTCGACTCAGACTAGCGACACACCTTTTGATGCATCGCTGGGCAATCTTTGATAGCGGCCACTACGCAATCATGATGACCGCTATCAAGGATTTCGCCTAGCAATGCACGGATAAAACAAAAACACAATTTGTGACGGAAATTTTATGAAAAAACGGAATGGTTGCAGCGTGAATTCAATGAAATGAATAAATGAGTTCTTGTTTTGGACAGCTAGTGAAAAAAAACTAGTAAGGTTTATAAAAAAAAAGAAGAATTTGTTTTTTTTATCCTCGCCAAAATCAGCTGTTCATCGATCCTCTCCTTTTCGGGCGCGATTGTGCAGTTTTGCGCCAATTTTGTCTGCATTTTTAGCCTAACTGATGTGTATCGTAAGTTACTCAGTAGCAACTTACGGGAGTCTTGTCTGCGTCTCCTCTTTTACACACCACTCTAACATCAGTTCACGTTCAGGTCACTTGAACGTGAACTGATATGGAAGAGTTGACTGCAGCAGCTGGACAGATGGTCAACTATCAGTTCACTGCCATTCTTATAGCATGGGAGAGTGGGCGGTCATCAGTTCACCTGACGTGAGGTGAACTGATGGGATAAGTTCAGTTCACCTGAACTGATCGAGCTTTACTACGGGCCTATATGTTTAGATTTCCAAAACAATTTTCTCGGTTTAGAAGCAATATTTTGCTGTCGCAACCGAGCAGTTTCCATGGGCGCCCGCTTCAGTAAGTTGTTAAAACTGAGATGCTCACGGATCTGCTCGGACACTACCTTTAAGAGTACGTCTTACGATGCTGTATGCTATCAGCTAGTCGAAAGAGGTACTCAAAGGCAGCGTCTGGCCAGATATGAAAACTTAGAGTACAGATTCGCCCCCCTTTGATAAAGCTTGCGTCCAAGTGACACTGCACCGATTTGCTTTTGAAGCGAAAAATCGCTTCAGAATTGGCGACCGGAGGTGACCCGGCACCGGACAAGTTTCAGGCTGCGTTCATACTGATTCCCATGTTCTGGAACTGTTCCCGCACAGTTCCCGCACAGTTCCCGCACAGTTTCAGCACAGTGCGAGAACTGTGCGGGAACAGTTCCAGAACATGGGAATCAGTATGAACGCAGCCTCAATAGGCCAGAGTGCGCATATCGCACATAGTCAAAACCTAGGGTCCCACAGCGACTCTGCATCTTAATCTTGGCGGCAGAGTCTAATTTGAAAACCAAAGCTTCTGGGATAGCTCTTTTTCGGAATTTTCGTGCTTTCCAGGCATGTTCGGAGTCAGCGGTAAGAATAAGCCCAGGTAAGCAAAAAAAAACTTTATCCAAAATCTTGCCCGGACGCTGCCTTCAAGAGTTGAGTCTTTCATTGTCTACTCTTTCGTCTTCGGGAAGTCTTCTACAAGTTCAGATATATGAAGTCCTTCGATTTTTTTTTGGGAAAATCCGTTCTCGAATTATTTCAAAGTAGCTTATACCTCAGAAGTAGGTCTTTTGATGTAAACGCAGATAACGCTGCTCCAAAATTTGGCTGAATGATTGTTTGATTTGTATTCTATGTGAGACAAAAGTGAGTGAAAATATATTAGGTTGAACCGAAAGTTCGTTCGCACCATTTTCAAAAAATCATAACTTCTTTCCGTCGCGACGATTTTGCGCATTTCAAGTTTTATTAAAAAGCGTAAAGTATGTAGTTTCCAATAGTCCCCCTGCCGACTTTCTAGCATGTTCAGATTGCAGAGATAAAAATGAAAGAACGAAAACATCCGAAATTCGGAATTTTTGAGAAACAATTCCAAAAATCTAGAAACTGCGCGATAAAATCCAGAAAAGCCATTATCCTAATTTTTCTTATATTTGATTACTAATTGAGTTAAGTTTGTGCTGATCGAGCTCTTTTTTCAAAAGTTATGATTTTTTGAAAAAAATGCCGAAAAATCAATTTCTTAGGAATTCTTAGGTAAGTGATTTTTCGGAATTTTTTTCAAAAAATCATAACTTTTGAAAGAAGAGCTCGATCAGCACAAACTTAACTCAGTTAGTAATCAAATATAAGAAAAATTAGGATAATGGCTTTTCTGGATTTTATCGCGCAGTTTCTAGATTTTTGGAATTGTTTCTCAAAAATTCCGAATTTCGGATGTTTTCGTTCTTTCATTTTTATCTCTGCAATCTGAACATGCTGGAAAATCGCCAGGGAACTAGTGGAAACTACATGCTTTACGCTTTCTAATAAAGCTTGAAATGCGCTAAACCGTCGTGACGGAAAGAAGTTATGATTTTTTGAAAATGGTGCGAACGAACTTTCGGTTCAACCTAATAAAAAACTTAAGAAGTGAGTTTAAACTACTTGGATAACAATTTATCAATTTATCATGATGAAAGAAACATTTAAAGCTATTATAAAATGACAGATGTCAATATATACAATACTTCTGCAAACGGAGCACGCACACCCGCCACCAGCAGTCTTCACCAGGGAACAGTGAATAGGTACATTCATTATTGTGAAATGAATAATTTGACGGGATAGTCAGATAGACCGTGAGGGTAGTTCGAAAAGGTTACATTTCAATATAATACAAACTAAAAATACCCTTTTGACAGGAAAGCGCTGAAAGTAAGTTCGCACAACTCATGGAAAGAGGAAGAAGGATCAAATTTTACTTTCTTTGCTGATAATGTTGAGAATGTTTGTTCTCAATTCACAGGATTTTCTGCGGATATAATCTCTAGATGAAACCACTTCAGATTTCAACGAACTCATTTCAGATTTCAGAGCGGGAAGGAGGTGGTTCATGCCGGGTTCCAAATTCATGTTGGGAATCTTGGGAAGGCTCAGCCTACGCATACTCTTCTTGAATCGTTCGCGTGAACGCGCAAACGGTTTTTTACGTTTTGCAGGCTTCTCCTGTTCTACACCATCTACTTCGCTTATAGTACTTACATCGCTCTCAGTGCTGTCATCGCTATCATCGTCTACATCGGCGTCCTACAATAAATTATCTTCAAACTATTCAATCAAGTTTTTTTTACACAGTGGATTAAATCACTGATACTGATGATTTTCAAGAGTTTTAACATAGCAAAATGATTTGGTTTGATGGATTATTTACAATATATTTTTTTCTCCATCAAACCCAAATGTTCTCTTAATGTCAAAGCTAATATCAACACCCGGAGATCAGTACTAACTTTTAGAATGTTTACGATGATACCAAAACGGTCTCTGGTGTTTGTTAGTAACACTTTGCACACTACAAATTTTGTCGCTATATCATTACTTATAATTTATTGTTCATTACTTATTATTGTTTATTATCCGGTATTTATTAATTATTATTTATCATTTGTTGGAGAAGTTCATCTCATTTCTTATCCGCTATTATCATCTAATTCTCCATTACATGTTTGTTTCGAAAAACTTGGCATTGTTGAAAATTTTAATCTTACTGTGCCATGAAGGCTTGTTATGCTAGTAAGGCCCAAATCTTCAACCCTTTTGTCATCGTCGGGCGCTAAAGCTCAGCATTACTTGCAACGCTATACCTCTAGACAGAAGTGAATACATGGTATACCACCTCAACGAAGAGTCCGTACCGGAGGAAATTGATATCAGCAGAACTGACATTTGACAAAAACTTCTAACAACAACTTCTTCCAATGCGAACTCTGCTCAAAGGAAATACAGCGGTGTTCACTTTTGTCTGGAGAGCTTTTTTGTAGGCAGAATTGAAACAAGGTTGAAATTAGATGAGTAAGAAGAGAATTCCAATGATCTAGTGTTGCAAATGATTTTTCGAGTCATTTTGGGTCTCCGTGAACGATGAAGGTCAAACGTTAGTGCAGAGGAACAAATTCATCTAGCAGGATCGTATGGCACAGCGAAACCGAAGCAAATTTATCACTATGTATTGCTCTTTGGTTTTTTTTGATTTCTCGCGGATGCTTTTCAAATTGTTATCAGTGCTAATACCGTTATGATTTCTACTATAAAAATCATACCTCCGAATCTGATGGAACGGCCAACAAACTTGGTGTGGCTATTGTTGGTAGAGTAAGATTCCTTTTCGAAAGCATAGGAGTCTTCGCTGAGATCGATTCCTCCATATCCTCCACGTTCACAAAGGAATATGTTTTCAATCCCTTACTCTGTCCATTAATCTCATTTTCCTTTTCTTTCAACTCTTTTTCCATAGCCGCCCTTCTCATTTGTGCTAGCAGTACTTCCGAGATCTCTGCAGGATCACCAGCATCCACCCATTCTCCGGATGCTGCCATCAGCTCTCTAAGGAAATAGTTTGCTAGTTTTTGAAGAATAGCATTTTTACAATAAAAACCTTTTCGCATGACAGTTTTGACAGAGCCACTTTGAACGCGGTGTTCCGCGACGGCATTCATTACAGAGAAGACATCCACATTTTGCGCATTTGGTGCCGGCATTAAAAATGAGTCCAAGTCTGCTTTGACAGTGAAAACATACACGGCCGCTCGGTTGGTCCACTGATCTGAAAGGAAAGATAAAATAAGATTTTTTCATTAGGTGCTTCTCTTAAAATGCTGAATGTCGAGACAGACTAGATCATAAAATTCAACAAATTCCATTTTTGGATTTGATTGCCTGTAGAGTTTCTGCTACCTTCCCCACAAAAGCCTCATTCAATTACAATACAGCTTATCTTTCAAAATATGAATCATTTAGGGTCAGCTCGCAAATGGTTTGCAAGTTGAGGTGAATCTCATCCTCTGTGTGGCTTAGTACAGCGGCTCATCTGCTGTGAGCTATGATCAGTCACCTCAGGGCGCCTCTGTGAGTTCATATAAATGCGTTGTGGACTTAGGAATTGGCGTGAACGAGTCACAGAGAAATTATTGTTTGAGAGCAGTAATACATCACCCGAGGCGATGCAACGGAATATTTGCACAAAAATGTGCAGTTTCAAAGTAATACCCGTGGAAAGTCTTGGTAAACATCTGATTGCATCCACTCTTTCTCAAGCCACGCTAAGATTACATATGTCCATATTGTCAACCTTCAATAGCTGCCATTCTCGATCATTTAGGTATTTGCCGCTCGAAAATTGACCGGCGACACAGTTGAATTATGATGACGGAAATTTACTGACGAGGGCCGAGTTGCGCTTTCATTTAGCAAGGAAAGGTACATCATTAAGGTCCCTACGGGACACTAATAACATTTTTGCTTTCCATTTTATGAAACGATTCTGTAGAAGAAACTACGGTCGTGAATTTAAAGGTTTTGCCCTGTCTACAGACGAATCGAATAAAAGTAACGATCGATCACTGACAGAAACCTGGTAGTGCAGTGGAAGAGCAATCGGTTTTGGCCACTAGGCACCAATTCAGATCCCAATGTTTCCATCGCTTTTGCGTTTATTTTTTCGCAAATTCTTGTATTCTATTCAAGAATCATCTAGAATAGCAAAAAAACATAGTTTTCGTTTTGAATGCATTTCGTAACACATTTTCGCTGCAGTATTGATGCGTATTTATCGTATTTGTTGATGAGACAAAACCTGTAGCGGAGTACGAGAGTACGTAGAGGATATTGGAGGAGATAGTATACTTTGGAATATTCAAAGTTCCTCAATGATCGAATAATCGAATGTATTCGAAAATCAAAAATGTCGAACAATCGAACGATATTTTCAGAAACAAAAAATGTCGATTATCCAATATTGAATACTTTCCAAAATCAAAAATGTCGAATAATCGAATATCGAATATTCTCCAGCTAAAAAATTCTCGAATAATCCAATATATTTGAGATAAATATTTCGAATAAACGAATACTTTGTATCGACTGGTCGAGTATTCAAGCAAATTGGGTAACTGATTGAATTAGCACAGTGAAAGAGCCCATGCAGTATGCAACTCAAACAACAAACGATATTTGTTGATATAGCAAGCAAAATTACGCATATCACTGAACTGGTGGCAAATCTGGTCTACATCCAAATTCTATGAAAAGTCACCGATCTAACCCACTCTAAACACCAGTCTCCCATGCCCAGTGTTGAGAGCGCAAAATCAGTAAAGGCAAAATGCTCATTCACGCCCACATTGACATCTACCTTCGACCAAAAAAGTTTGCAAATCATCTAAATTAGTAAGCACAATTGTCAATGTAATTAGTATTAGCCTATGCCTTTACAACGCACAGTTCCCCAGCAGCATGCTCATTTGAGCTTGTACACGAACTCTAGCTTCACAACTTGGAGACCAAACAGTGTTGCCTTTAAGCATTTGTTGTGCTCAGGCCCCTCTCTTGCATCTTGCAAAGGAGTTTTCTAAGATATGAAAGGCAGATTTCAAAAAGTTTTGATCCAACAAACTCACATAATTGATTTCATAATCACTTTTGACCTACAGTCGCATATATGCGAAAACGTGATCTTGGCGACCGACTTGCAATGGAACGACGTGTAAGGCCTGGGCAGAGCTCATGCGACTTCGTCGCGTCGCGTCCTATCATTTTGGACAAGTGCTCCACGCCACGCTTTCAGTGTGTGGGTTCGACGCGTTTGTGATGGCTGCGCGGCGCGACGGATCGCGCCACACTTTTCGGCGTTCATAGCTCACCGTCGCGATTTAGCCGAATCGGCGCGAAGTCGTGTCGCTCGTTTGCGGCGAGCGACGGGGCGACCGTCGCGCCGATCCTGAACTGCTTTTTCGATGTTTTGTAGTAAATTGCTGTTTTTTGCATGTTATGAGTGTTTTTGCATAAAATGTTGGAAATGCGCCAAGTTATGCCTATCCTTGCTTTGTTTGATGAGGGCAGTTAGTCTCATTTTGCATTTTTTCCTGTCTTTCAATATACATTTCCCTACATCTCATATCCTAGGCTGCCAAAGAGATCTGTAACAAGCCCTACCCTGTTCGATTGCGCATCGAATACTTGAAGAATGTGCTCACAGTCTACGTAACTCCGAAATATGGGCTTTACAGAGATAATAACAGTTTTTTCGTCTATCATGTGCAGCACATGGGGGAGCTTCTAGAGCTGAAGACATCGTTTTGCCACGTAACGGTTCCTTCGGAGTGTCCGCAGCCACTGGGCCTTGCTGGTACTTCTTCCCTATTGTAATTAATGCTTCCCAACATTCATTTGACTATGAACCTTTTACCAGAACCACGATGTCGTTGACTTCTCCTTTTATCGTTGATCATTTGAGTGCATAACGTTGTGATCGTTATCAAGTCGGATTCTAATGTGATAAACTTCCAAACTTCCTTTGTTTGCTGCTACACCTTTTTTGAATAACAGTGATGTAGTAAAGTTAACGAGAGCACTGATTTTCACTAATGAATTAGGGTACATGCAATGTGTGAAGTGTTGTGCAATTGCATGAAATCGCGTAGGAGGTATGCACGCCTCCGGCGACTGAGCGACTCAGTCGTCGCGTCCCAGTCGCCACTTTCGTGCAAGTCGTCGCGACTGAAGATCGCGCGACTTCGTCGCGTGAGCTCTGCCCAGGGCCTAAATGCAGGGAAGCAACTGGAAGGGAAAGGACGCGAGGGACACAAACAACTAGAGTCTTGTAGTTATTCGATCACGCGAAATTATCAAATAACGGAATAGCTATCAAAAATAATCAGAATGTTCGAAAATTCGAAAATTAGTTCGAAAGACCGAGTATTCGAATAAATCCAAAGATGGCAAATTTCGGAGCAAATATCGCAAATAACGAGAATGAAGCAAATATCGGATATATTCGAGGTTTTGAACATTTGAATAATTAAATTTCGAATAATTTATTCGAATGTTATTCAAATACTCGAATATTTATTCGATTTGATTCAAAGTATCGCCTATGCGATTCAATAATCTTTAGTGGAACATGTCTGGAAAATTAAGCGCGTTTATTGAGAAGAGCTGAGCAGGTTTTGCGGTGAACTTGCATTCGATGAGAAGCTGATTTACTTCTGTTTCTCAGTCTTCAAAGTTGCAAATTCAAGAGCCAAAAAAGCATTCTTGAGATTTGCCCATTTTTTCTTACAAAAAAGGCGTTTTTGCCTAGAATTCTTGCCATTTATGGAAAATGGCATTTGCACGTTAACAGGGGCACTGAACTAGACATTGTTGAGAAGGACAGAAAGTCCTGCACTGCAAATTGCTGCGCAAGAACAAAAGGACTATATCTTTGCAACTCAACTGCACCTTCTAAATGGAGCAATACTGCAGAAAAGACTCAATAGGCAGGTCCAGCAGAATTTTCCGCACGACAAAATATGGTTACGCATGGCAGACATCAAAACTGCCCTGCAAGACTTGATCGGAAAATAAATTGGCATAGTGTGCTACCAACGTCTCGCTCTAGAAGATTACGTCTGCACTGACTATTGCAAATCATAGAAACGATGTTTGCTTCGCTACTGAAGATGATTTCGAGCCCTACCACAGACTCTTCAGGAGCAGAAAACCTACTTTCTGAAAGTCAAGTGGCAAGGTGGCAAAGGGTTGTACTCAACAATGAAAGACACATTATTCTATTTTGGCAAATCTGTCATTTCGTTAGTTTATGAAAACTCTACGAACTTATGAACCGAGCTGCGGAAAAAACACGAATGAGAGAAGATAGAACCGATATATCCATATATTTTCTCAAGACTAGCTGCTATGGAAAGCCAAAACTTACTGTACTTGTAGTGGCTTATAAGTACCGTTTGGCTAGAAAAAGAAAAGCTTCGTTTTCCAGATTTTTTAGTTATAACGCGTATCAATAAAGATAAAGATAAAGATTTCCAGACCAAAAAAGCATACATACGGTTATACTGGCACACCCGCCTCCTCTTGGCTCTGTCAATGCATAACCCTCTTTCCGTACAGCATTTCGCTGCGCCGCTTCTTGCCAACCCTCGTGTTCACATGCCCACTTACACTCTGAGCCAACTCCCAGCCCTGTAGCTCAAAGTTTGCAAAAATCAATAAAATCGACAAAAGAAATGGATCCTAGTAATTGACATTGTATTCGTTTTCAGCGGGAGACGGCCCTTCTGAACCGCTAGCGTTAGCAGCCTAATTAGCGCGCGCCTCTGATTGGTCGGCGCTGCCGCGGCGCTTGGGTAGGCGAGAGCTATGCCGTCGTTGGAGACGTCTGTATTGGACTGCAAAGGCATTCTCAGATAAAAAGAATCAAACAATTTGAGTCTCCCATGAAACTCAAAAATGTTACGTGGGCGGGTTAGGTAAATTCTTCAGCTTACACGTGCAGACTTCATGGTGTGTTTTGAAAAGTGGGAAGGGCGAAGAAATCACGGAAGGCCAGTAAAAAAGCACACAACTTTTCCAACATCTTGTCTTCATATTTTTAACATCGTCACTATCGTTATTCGTGTGCCTCGCTTGCTTTGGAATGCTCAGAGATATTTGAAAACTCTGATAGATTATAAGAAAGGCGAAGTAATTAGCGCCGCCCGGGCAGAGTAATTAGTGCTAGGACAAAGCGGTTCAGAAGGGCATACCCCGTGTATGCCACAAGCCACA